TTAAACATTTATTAAATGTAAGTTATTAATAGCTTAGTTAAAAAACTATGGCAGGCTAATTACCTACCCAGTTAAAGTTCAAAGACGCAATGACAATCTGGGGTATAACAGTCTATGATATCATGCAACACCTCTATGCTCCTGCATAGGAATGGAGAAAAAAATTTCTTTGTTAGTATAAACAGAAATGGAATTGTTTTCTTTCTATTATTGAAAGTTTAAATATTTTTAATTTTATAAATAAATTCTGCATGATTATATAAAAAAATTTTAAGAAGGCAAGATGTTTGAGTCTTTTCTTAATATTACAAAATAATTAGAATATCTACATACACAAGTATTTGCACAGAAAAAACTGGAATTGTAATAAATTTATTATTTACGTGATTTTTTTTGTGAGACAAAAATTATTTAAATGATTTATATTGGAAAATTGTAATTTGGAGAAACAAAAGTTAATACCTTCTCGTTTAGTTCTCACCGTGTATTACTGCAGTTTTGAACTCATAATTTTCGAGTCATAAGACCCATAAACAAAACGTAATTGAATTACCTGAGAAATTCGAAATTTTCGAATGAAAAATTTCGACATTAATTTCAACAGACTTAGTTTAATTTCATAGCTGGGCAAGCACATTGAACCTTCCGAAATCAAAAAAAATAAGTTACAGAAAACCTATGAAAATGCTACTATTCGACATATTTTTTATAACTAAATCAAGGTAAGGAAAAAGAGGCTTATCATCTGACAAAAGCAATTTACACCCCGAACAATATTTTTAGAGTGAAACTTTAAGAGGAGTATGTTGTCAAGGTGTGTCAAAAATGTAACTTCGATTCTGAATAGCCATCATCCACCAAAAATAAATTTCAATAGTCCAATATTGGTACTTTCTATTCTGCTAAAATAACAATGCATCATAATTGTTTAAATTCACACCAAAAATCAAATTCATACCGAAAAAGAGGAAACCATAGCAATAGATAAAAAAAAACTCAAGCTTATAAACTGAGGAGTGCAAGTTTTAACCAAAATGAACTAATACAGAATTGTAGTACGAGCTTTCTATGGTTACAACCACTTTCAATTTTAATTTTCACATACTTTTCAATTCGATGATCGTTACATAAACGCCGCAAAAAACCGAGAATTTTTAATTAGATTACTGTTAAATTAAAAAAATTAATGAATCCCATTTGGTCTTATTTCCCATATAGTGCTTTCAGTTTGATACAGCACAAGATTTTGATTAATTTTTACCAAAAATTTTCCTTTTTCTTTGACCTTGGAATTAGCATGTAGTTTGAATTCTTTGATCTTTTTTATTTGAATTACTCTGGAAAGGTGCAATTTTCTTTCACTTTATAAATTAAAAACATATGAAATGTTTTGATTTTAAAATAACCCTTGTTATCTCGTCAGATCACGTTTGCCATATGGTTTCTGAAACAGTTTTTTTTTTTTTTGCTGCATTTTCCTTGTATCATTCAAACCATCTTATTTCATATTTTATATGCATTAAAAGTTACGCAGGACTACAGGAGTCCTTGTTTTTAAAAAAGAAAACAAAACGTAATTAAATTATGAAAATTTAGTAACGAGAAAAGTTCTTTTGATAAAATTTTTTGTCAGATAATGAGCTTTTTAAGGCAAGTATAGTGATTTACGGTAAAATAAAATGTCATTTCAACTTCTTTTCCAATTTTGTTTTTGTCATAATGATGAAATTTACCTTATTTCAAGACTAAACCAACAAAAACTATATATGAGTTTTCTTTCTCCCGTTGATTGTACTAAAATATGTCCAGTACTGTTAACAGTTTCATTTCTTCATTTGAAATGATTAGTTAAGGTCGTCAGTAAATACATTAAATTTATTTTTCCATAAGGAACATAAAAATCTTTACCCATTTATTTTTTTTCCATTATACATTATGAACTGTATATATATATATATATATACACATATACTTTATATACATCAAGTTATACTCCAATAATCAAGTTAAACATAACGCAATGCTTCGTACTTTTAGAAAAACTGAATAATATGCGAAGTACCAGTGCTTCATTTTTTATTTTTTTTTATTTTTTGATAGAGGAAAAGGAAACATTGCGCCCGAAAATAAAATCAATGTCAAGTTAAAGAATTACATAAATGTAGGTACTGCGAATATTGAACCATTGAATAAAAGTCCGAATATTTTACCATTTTAAAATTTGATCACGTAATTTTTTTTTTGATTAAGATTAAAATATGGAATTTATGTTAAATTTTATCTCATATTTGACAGCACCCCCTTTAAAAATAATTTATTAAATCTGATTTCATTTGATTTACGGTATTCAACTTTAATTAAAAATTTTATGTAAATTCAAGATAACAAACAATGGTTGATCAATTATTGTGTTCATATTATTTTTTAATATATTTTTACCGTATATACGTTACATTTATAATAATGTTACGATCCACTTGTTATTTTAAAAACTTTGAAAGTTTAAATTTAAAATTTTCGAATGAGGGCATTGTATTTCGATAAAACCTTTAAATTACAAAATATTTGGGTCTGACTTAATGTTATTTTAAATCAGAATGATTTCGATAAATTTCGAGTTGTTAGTTCCTAGCAGTTTGAATGAAACTATCGAACAGCAATGCACATTTTCCGGTAATAAAAACTATTTTAATTATTTGGAAGTTTTTTCATTGTAACCGGTTTTCATTACTATTTTCTTTGTTTCTATACCCTTTACTCACACTTAAATATTTAAAGCGTGTCATAATTATTTTAAATAATGATTGAAAAATTTATTTGTTATACAATTCCAGTGTATTAATATTTTAAAATTATAAATTTCTTGAGAAATTTAATATTTGTCTGTCAATATTGTATATATGTGCTTAATATTATATATATTAAGCACAAAGAGTACAGCCTTTTAAAATGAATTTATAATACGTTAAAAGTGAAATTAAAAAAGTACAGAGGCCTTATTATGTATTTCGATTTTTGTGAAAAGATTTTCGTATTTGCAGAAATGAAACGGTAGTACTATATAAATTGACTACTCGTATTAACATACTACCTTATCATTTTTCCGAATACGAAAATCGTTTCACGAAAACCGAATAACATAGTAATACCTCAGCTAATTCATATTAGTAATTTCTGAATAAGATTTATTTTTCAATTTAAGAACTCCTGTAGCCCTTCGTAACTTCAAATTCATTAAATATGAAAAATAAAATGGTTATTAATTTTAAGTACTCACATTAAAAGAATAATTATGAAATTCATTTTTAGGAAAAGCGCTTTTTTAAAAATCATACTTTCATTTCTTAGTTGTCAGAATATGCATAAGGTCAACAATATAAATAAACTTAAGTACTCTTAAATTGGAAAAATGTACTTCTTTTCAACATAAATTTAAAGTTTTATGTAATTAGAAACGACAAGACATGCAATCATCCCAAGTTATAGAAAGGATGTAAAAAAACCTCTTAGTAAGCATCGTGTAATATTAATTAATTTTTTTTTAGAGCAAGTATACATTTGTAAGAACAAGTGTATGAGTTTTACGAGAAAGTTGTTAAAAGGAGAAAAAGATTGAAAATGTAATTTAATTAAAATGGAAGCGCTTTCAGAAAAAAACATCTAATAATTTTAGATGGACGAAAATCATATGAAATAATGTCAACATCATTTAGTGTTTGAAAATATAAAAATTTTCTCTTGTAATATCTGGCACAATTAATTTTCCAATATTTTTACTTCGAAAATCATTTTTAGAAAGGAGGTAAATTATAAGAACTTTTGCCTCAAATTTAATTTTTGTTTTAAGATTTTGATTCAGCTGAATTTCCTGAAAGGATTTGAAAAATTAAAATTTTGGAGTATTATTACATTAGAAGGAGGATGTCTTACCGATAGATACATGAAATTTTCTTTCTTGCTTTCTTAAATCTTAAATCTTCTTTATTTTTTTTATAACGAAAGTTTTTTCAGTGCAGGTTCACTTATCCTAAGAAATTTAACTCTTCTCCCAGTATTTAACTCATATAATTAACTCATACGGAATGATGACTTGGTAGAAATATAAACGCAAGCTTGAATAGAAGTAACATTACTTGTAATTTAATGAAATATGTATTTACTTTTGTCCTACGAATTATGACAACTCAGCACCATGAATATAAATAGCAGTTTTCTATTTAGTTTTTCACTAAATAAAATTGGGTAATCCTAAATATACGCAATCATATTTTATATGTACCTTGTAATTAAAAAAAAAATTTTTGCATATATTTAGGAGAACCTTTAGTACAATTTTCTCAAATGTAATTATGATTAAATTGCTTATAATTACAACTTATATTGCAAAACAAACTTGAGTACCGTGATATTGTTAACATTCTCTACTATTAAAATCTGCAGTTTTGTTAAAATAAATAAAGCATAAAGTTTAAATTTAATTTTTTTTAAATTATGGCTCTTTATACTTTTATTTCTAACTTTAAAAATTTATAAGGTACTTTGATTATAAGATTCTTATAAAATAAACTGAACTGAAAGTAGAATTAGTTTTACAAAATGTCAAATTAGTTTAAGTAAATTAAAATTTAATTAAATTTCTAGTTTCTTAAGTAACAAAATGTACATTAAACAAATTTAATAAAATATAGACTGGACAATGGGACCGAACTAAGACAATTTATACATAAATATGTATAAAAATTTTGCTGACAACTGTTTTACGATAGTTAAATAGATGCATTTTTACTGAATCCTAAAAACTGCGAATTTTTACCAAAGTGGAACAATATTGTCAATAAAGTCAGTTGTTCGGTAATTTAAATTCTATTTCTAAATAAGACAAGTTGATGATATGTCTGAATTTTGGTAGATGAACTTGGACTTAAAAATTGAAAATAATTTTTAATAAAAACAAGATTTTCTCATTTTTAATTTAGAATTTTATATTATTATTTATTTTCTTTTATTTATATGTATATATTTTTCTTTTTTTATTTAAAACTTAAAATAATAACATAATCATTTATTTTTAATGTAATTAAATTCTCTTTTTTTTTTCATCTGTTTTTTACTTTCATCAAAAATTTTGATTTAAATCTTTTATTTTCTTTTTTTGAAAAACAGAATTTCAGTGTGGTGTTGTTCTCAATTTTATTATAATAATAATAAAAATAATGATAATACAAATAATTTATGTAATAATCATTTATATTAAAAAAATTTTTAATTATGATTTGAATGAAAATTTAAAATTCTTTAAATAAAGCAAAAGAATATTATAAATTAGAGAAATAAAAAAAAAAATAACAAGAATATAAGAAAACTATTTTAACCTTTAATAGTAGCAAAACATATCATTTAGAATTAAAAGAAATTCATAGAAAACATACAAAGGGATAACGTGAAGAAAAAAATTTATTTTCCAAAAAAAAAAAATAATTTAAATATTATGTAAATGTAAAAAAAAAGATTATTTAATAGTTTACAACTACTTTAATGAATATTTTTTAATAAAAAATAGTATGAAATTTAATAAAAAATATTAATAAAAAAAAAACTGTGAATAAAAAAAAAACTTAACAAAATAAATGATTCAAATTCTCTTTTTTAAAGAAAACGCTTCAAAATCCTATAAAATATTTTGAAGAAAAAAAAAACTTATTGTGTTTTTGAAATCATTCATTTCAACTTGATTTTTATATATTTTTAAATATAATATAAGTATGTCGTTTTTAACTTTAATGGCATTTTTAATTCAAAAAAAAAAAAAAAAAAAACTCAGTTGCATATCATTAATTTAAAAAATAATTGAATTTCTTTTCATGACTATAATAAAGCAACAATAAGATCTCTGTTTTATAAATGAACTCTAAAATAGTAGCAATTTCATCAATTTTTTGTTGATTTCAAAATTTTATTCATTTTAAATAAGAATTTCGAGCCTTGAGAGAAAAAAAAATGTTTACTTTTTGCAAAATTTAACTTTTTTTTTTTAAATTTTTTTTTTTTTTTTGCAATATGTTCCATTATATATATATTTTTTTTTTATAATTTTAATATTAATTCGTTTATAAAAATTTTTTTCTTTTCAATGTCTTCTTTAAGCATCAATCTTAAATGGAGAACCAGTAATATGATCGTCACCCCATTTAATGAACATTATATATTCGCCACGGTCACGTACTAAATAATTTACAGAATAATTATTACGTCCAGTATGTTTGACAAAAATTTCTTCACAAGGTCCTTTCGGTCCGTAAATACCAATGAATAAAATATTGTTGCCTAAAAATATAAATTATATAATTGGTTAATATTTCACGTAAAAATTTTTTAAAAATGTTTATTTACAGAACAAAAGATTTATAAAAAAAAAAAAAAAAAAAACACTTACCGGCATCAGTTGCATTAATAGTAAATTGATTTTGTTTTCCTATATAGGCACGTTTTAAGCCCATTCCCTTGCATGTAACCTTAGTTGCATCAGATTTGAATTTAGGCAGATGAACACCAGCATTTGCTGAACCCTTTGTTACCTTAGCAACTGTTTCAACAATAACAGTTGATGTTTCTTGTGGACCTTCATCAGCCAGTTTGTCACCTAAATGGAAATTATTATTAAATAATGAAAAATATTACTATACAAATGTCTTCCATATTGTTTTACTTAAAAAATATGATATTTACCTCTACAAACAATTCTATGTGGTGAACCAACAATATGACAATTATTGTATTTAATGGAACAGAAATAATCACCAGGTAATAATGGTGTATATCTAACTTTATAACCTTCTTCAACTTCAGTACAATCCATTGCAACTTTTGAAGGACCGTCCATGGTAACAGAAAGAGTACCAGCACCAGAATTACATGTATTTATAATAAAATCAGCTTTATGACCAGTTCTTACTTCTTCTAAACCGCTGCCGGATGCATGAACAGCAGCTGGATCAGCAACATCTTTACCAACTTTTATTTTAAATGGTGATCCAGGAATATGTACACCGTTGAATTTTACATGAATTGCATGTATGCCATTTTCTCGTGGATAAAAACGAATTGAATATGAGTCAGCATCAATTGATTGATTGAAGCAGTCATCTTCAGTTCCCGATGGTGCTACAATTTTGGCATCTAATTCACCTCTAGCACCATTTTTACGCACTAAAAATTGTGATGGTGCATCAGCTTGAATAGCTCCTGTTGGAAATTGTTGCACTTCCAATTTATTTGCATCTCCTACAGCTGGTGAAATATATACTTTAAATGGTGAGTCAGGTATATGACGGTCATTGAATTTTAATCCTATACGATATTCTCCAGGTTGTGATACAGTATAAGCAACATCACATGAACCATCTTTACGATCTTTGAATTGTATATCAGCTTTACTAGGGCCCTCAACAGAAATTGCTAATGAACCGCCACCAGCTTCACGGGTCCAAACATTAAATTCAGCTGGAGAATTCACTTCACCACGTTCCAAACCAGGACCACCAGCTTTTACTAAATGTGAACCGAAATCGTGTAATGGACCAACTGTAAACTGGAATGGTGATCCAGGAATATGCATGTCCTTATAGCGAACGGACACGGTATGAACACCCAATTCTTTTGGTACAAAATTAACAGCATAAAGACCGTTCTCAACTTCAACAATTTCTGCATCTTCAGTAATTTTAGCTGGAGACGTAACACAGGCAGCTAAATCAAATGATGTAATACCAGGCATTTTAAATGTCAAACGGCAGTTGCTACCAACTTCAGTTAATGGTACAGCTTCACGTTGGCGTTGAATCTTTTCACGTTGCCGATTTGAGCCAGCACCAGATACTTTTACAGTAAATGGAGATCCTTCAACATGATGATCAGCGAATTTCAAATTAACAATATAATAACCAGGTTCAGTTGGTTTATAAGAAATATTCAGAGTTCCATCGTCTTTATCATTACAGACAATTTCTGCTTTGCTTGGACCTTCAATTGAAAATGAGAGACCGCCGTATCCAGCGTTACGTGTATCAACTGTAAAGTTGTTTTCTACATGTGTTTTGCCTTCCTTGAGAGCTTGACCGCTTACCTTAACTTTTTTGGCATCACCAACCTAAATAAATCATACAAATCATTAAATTTTATGGAGTTTTAAAATTTATTACTATCAGAATTTACCTCACGTTCCATAACATTCACTTTGAATGGTGAATTTGCAATATGTTGTCCGGTACGTTTAACAGAAACTTGATGTTCACCGACTTCACGTGGTGTAAAGGAAATACCAATGTTTCCACTTGGAAGTCTTTTCAAGAAACACGGTTCCTCTAAACCACTCGGTGCCTATTCAAAAGTAAAATATTAAATAAATTTATGTGCATAAATTTCGGAAAAAAAAAATCATTTACTTGAATTGAAGCATTCAAAGCACGAATATCATCGTCAGTAATTTTTCCTGGGAACGTAATTTCAGAAGATGATCCTACTGAAATCTGATTACGTTTACGACCTTCACCAGTAATTTTTGCACTAAATGGTGATCCTTTGATCATTTTATCACCAAAACGAACGGAGATCTTATATTCGCCTGGAGCTGTTGGTAAATATTGAACACCGACAGTACCATCCTTATTATCATGATATGAAATCTAAAGAAAAAAATTAATATTTTTTTAACAAGAAAGGCTAATATAGGTGTTTATGTAAATAAAAATATCCTTGAGATATGCAATTTATTTATTTTTTAAATTAAAATTTATTAAAATTCAAATTTATTTATATAAATCGTATTTTTATGTACTCACATCAGCTTTGCTTGGACCTTCGATTGCAAGTGATAAACCACCGGCTCCAGCACCTTTTGTTGAAATTGTAAAGTTACCTGGCTCACCTGTAACACCATGAGTTAAACCAGGTCCATAAGCTGTTACATAACCAGAGCTAATTGAATCAACATGGAATTTAAATGGTGATCCTATTTGAAAAATAAAAAATGCATATATAGTAATTATTAAAGGACCAAATATTTTGAGGAAATTTTTTAAATTTACCTTGAACTGATTCACCATTATATTTAACAACCAACTCATGAATACCTTCCTCCTTTGGATCGTATTTAACGGATACGGTACCATCACGGTTGTCTTCAATAACAGGTTTATCTACTTTTCCACTTGGCATTTTTACTTCAGCTACAACAATACGAAATTTAAAGAAATTTCATATTAATTAATTAAAAATTTCAAATATTTTTAAACTTAATATTTTTACATTTTTATTTAAAAAACAAAATTATTATTTTTGACAAAATAATTAAGTTGTAAGTAAATTGTATAATTGTAAAGCTCATTTGAAAAGAACAGTGCGGATCGAAAAGAACGGGGAGCGCTTTTATCCGAATTTGCGGTATGTACTTCAAAAGTCTCGTAGCTCAAGATAGTCGGAAAGTCGATTACAAAATATAAATCTTAAAATCGATTACAAAATATTTTTCGAATAGACAGACACAGGTAGAGATAACACGGCAAGTATTTAAAAACGTGGATAATAAATTTGTATTTAAATATAGAAATTAGTGTAATGTCATATTTCAGATTTTAAAATGGAGTCACGCCTCTAATCCGAATTCGATTTAATTGTAAGCGAAAATTACTAAATTCAACTGCTATCAATTGCGGAATTCAATTAAACTATTGCATTTCTGCATTTCGGAGTTCAAAAAATTTTTTCTAATAATAGCTATTCAAAAAATGTTACATATAAAGCTATGTATACTGAAAAGGTATTACATATTACCATACAATTAATATGTAACACTTTTTCGATTCCTCAATCGAATCGATACACTAACACTAAAAATTTTTGTCAATTATTCTAATTATTAAACTCTCAATGAATTCAAATTAAGTGTATAAAATATAACAATTATCTATCTAAACAATAATCACTCACTTAAAAAACACAATTAAAAAATTTAAAAGTGAATCAGTTTTCAAATTAAAATGCAGTAAAAAATGATTAGATACAATAAAAGCGAAAAACAAGTATAAAATCTGAAAACGTTTTACGTCTAATTTTATTTCTTGTTCATTTTTATTTGATTATCTTTATTTGAATATCTTTTTTTTTATATATACACCAGCGAATTAAAATAATAATAAAATAAAACGATAAATATTTACGCTAATTATGTACACTAAATTATATTAAGAGTTTTTAATGATTTTTAAATAGACAAATTTGAAAAAAAAAGAATATCCAAAATATAAAAAAAAATAACATCAAAGGCCAGGAAATTTCATTATTTAGAAGAAAAACATACACGAAATAAACCACTACAGACGTAAACATAAGCAGCCACCTGTACAATAAAAACAAAAACCCAAAATTAACCACATTTTATTTAAAATTAAAATGTTAATGTTTTCCTATATAGTATGGAGTAGAATTTGTAGTACATTAAACACTGAAATAAACCTAGCGTAGACTTAATGAATGCATTTCATAAAATGATGAATGGTTTAAAAATTTAGAATATTAAAATACAAAATTTTATTCAAAAATTAAATGAAAATTATATTTTTCAAAATTAATGAATACAATAAAAGACTTACTCTACCATGTTATTTTAATTTTTTTAAAACTGTATAAAAGTGGAAGTTGAGATAAAAGAAAAAATATCATTGCATAAAATCATAAAAAAATTAAAATTTAGTATAACAGTTAAACATCTAGATTCTAGAGTAAATAGATAGCCAAATCCCGAAAATATTTCCATTCAAATTAACAACGGTAACTCTATTAATGAGTCAATGGGTATATCATTTGTATGGAAATTTCCAAATGGGAACACTAAATGAATATATGCAATAGAAAAACAGATATTATAAATGAAGTTGAAGGAAGTCTAAACAATGAACCTATAGCTATTTTGTAAATTTTTTGAATATTTAAAGTATGAAAGAGTTAATTAAAAATTATTAACAAAAATATCCTCATTACGCCCTGATTATGGTTTACTTATATTTTGTAAGAAATTACAACATAATGACTTTGTATTTTGTAAATCGGTATCATAATTATTTATTCTTCCATAAAAAATAGCTGCTTCAATTCAATTAAATTTTAATAAGCCAACGTCATTTTAGCCTTAAATTTCGAAAAATATTATGTAAATTATGAATATAGAATTAAAGCAAGTTTGATATTCTCAAACAAAGAATTAAAAAATTAAGAATTATTCCAAATTATTTTGCATAATTATTTTTTTTGGAATTCGGTTGCTAATTCAATAATTTCCAATTTATATGGAATGAAACTGCTATTAATGTAAATTTTTTTTTCGATTTGCCTAAGTTCAATTGTAAAAATTGGATTTCAATATAGATAAATGAAATATTGATATTCTAAAATTAATAAAATGTTTACTTTTCATTACTTTGCTTTTATTATTTCTTACTTGTGAATTTTAATGCAATTAAATTGTTTTCAATTTACAATACAATATTTAAAATTACAAATGCGGTGTATTTGTATACGATGAAATAAATTTTTTTCTTTATTCCATAATTTATATTTTACAAACAGAATTACAAACTTTATAAATTTAATTATAAAATGCATTTGTAAAAATGAGTTAACAATCTCGCGCTTACTGTGCCTTAAGCAACACGGCAGTCAATATGAAATTTTAATAGATCACCATAACAGAAAATAATTTTACACATTTATTTTTGATCTCAAAACTTGAGTCACTTTATCGTGCTAAAAAAGCAAACAAAAATTACAGTTAATAATATCATGTGGACTACCAAAAGTGAAAGTTTTAAGTCATTTTCGTTATAGCAACGTTACACTTAAAATAGAATAATCGTCTCAGAAAGGGTTAATTATGGATACAACTACATCAAGAACCAACTAAACTATACTATGCTTTGAAAATTTTTAAAAGAATAGAAACATTGAAAAATACAAGGTGGGATTAAATTCCAATAATACGAGCATTTTGCGAATTATTTAGCAATAATTCCGCAATTTTTCTTTTGAAAATGGAAAATCTTCTTATCAACTTGAATTCGTCCGGCAACTCATTGAACATTTTTAAAGAGTTGTATAAGCAATTACTTCTCTGCTTAGTCGTCCTAAGAAGCAACAAGCTTGTTTACTACCTGTTTCTTATATTGTATTCGTGAAAATTAAAGTTTCATTGCAAAATAAAATTAAAAATTTTTTTCTTTAATACGTTTATTTAATTAATATTCGGTAATTGTATTGATAACGTTGTAATAAAAATTCAGAAAAAGAAGATTAGATTTGCTATATAAGATATTTTAAAATTATATAAAAGAAACCATTTTAGAGCAATTTTAATCAAAGAAAACTATAAAAATTGTTTCAATTAATATTTAATATTTCTGTTATTCTAACATTTTAATATTTCTGTTATTTAAATTCTATATGTTATTCGAACAAAAAAAAAAATTAAATTTTACCACCATTAAGCTTTTGATTCTCACAATATTTTTTCTTCAATTTTAAAATACAATTAATTACACTTTATATTTTATCCTTCAAGTTTAATGTAAAAATAAAAAAAAAAACTAAAAGAAGAAACGGGGAAAAGCATACAAAAATAAAATAAAAAAATTTCCCTAAAAGCATTACAAAATATCTTTTTAATAGCAAATTAAATTAATCATGTTTTTTTTTTGTTGTGTGTTACGCTCATTCTTTTGAAAATTTTTACAATTCCCCAACAGTTTTCATCTCTCAAAATGAGAATTCTATGCTCACGCGTTCATTAAATTAAAATGAAAATTCCTAAATAAATTATATTAAAAAAGCAGAAAAAGTTGATCATTATTCAACATCATTTCCATAATTATGCTTACCAGAAAACACATTCCATGTAAACATAATGTAATAAAAAAAAAAAAAAGGAAAAATTTGAAAAAGGAAAACAAAAACTCAAAGAGAAAGTATCATGTTTTGCTATCCTCTGAATTAAGTAAATAATAGGAAACGTGAAATTCATATTGCGGAAAAAGATAAATATTTACAACAGCACACCTTTTTATTATTTCAATAATAAAATCTCAGCGATAATATAATAAACTTCTTATATGAATGTACATGTACATATGTAAATTTTATAAAAAATATGCTCGGATGTATAACATATGGGAAATAACATACTCTTATGATCTTTTTAATATAAAGTAATTTGAATATGATTTGAGTGCTGTTTTACATGTTTATGAAACTGTAAAATTATTAAATTTTTTGAACCCAAAATTTTTGAATTTAAATAAGAAACGAGTCCAGTATAATTTTCTGTTTTTGATCCTTTTATACGAGTATAAAAAAAAAATAAAAATTTAAAAAATTGTGCTCGTATGTGCAAATTGTGATTTTTGTTTAATTTTTCTTGGGTTTTAAACCTTGAAAATTATTATTCGAAAAGTTAACAAATTAACATGTTTTTCATTGTTGTAGGTCGCCGAATTTTAAAACTGAATTTTTAACATATTTAAATTACTTTTAAAATTTTAAATACCAAAAATTTGTTGAATGTAAGACAGTTATGTCGAATTCAAGATTATCAAGTATATGCCGAATTCGAGAAAAAATCGATAAACTTAAACGAATCTTAAACGAATAAATATTATGTAACAAATAAATTGTGCCGTTAAGTAAAAATAAATTCGAAACTAAATCTATAATCCCTAATTACATAAAAACAAGTGCTGGCGAATTCATCAGCTCAAGACAAATCGACAAGTTGTCGAATTTGCCATATCTATATTCGTTTATGATATCAAAAATGCTTATATAGTCAAATGACTATAACATTTAATTGAGAAGTGATAATCAAATGCACAATTGGTTCATATTTCTTGTACTTTAAATATACTGCAATTCGTTAACATTCAATGAGCACTATTTGAAATGCTTAATGAGTAATTTCATTTCTAACGTAATTTAAAATTTTGCTGTTTTATTCTTGAATGAAAATTTTTATTATATAATATAAAAGTTGTTAATTTCAAATATCTTGTTTTTTTAAAATTTTTAAAAATTCATTAGGATTTTAATATTTTAGAGAACATAAGAATGAAATAATGTGAAATTCGTTCTCTAAACTCTTCTGTAAGAACAAAAATTTTCAAAAAAAAATCTGTTAAATTGGCAG